ACGTATCCGGCAGCGACAGCATACGACTTACGAACTGCCGATGAATTGTCTAAAATGGATCCACTCAGAGCTTTCATAATACTGTCGGCAAAAGGCCTCAGTGTGGTCGCCTGCTTGAGGGACATGGTCACCAGAAATCGCGCACAACCCGCCTAAGAAAATAACCAAATATAAATGTGTGCTTTCAAAGTTCTTTTGACATTACAATTCACGCACCTTGGTCGGCAGTCCCACCCCCTTTCGTACAAGTTGGAGTAACTTTGGTGTTAACTCCTCCATCACTCCGGTGTCAATGTAATCAATACAGGATTCAATGCCTTCCATCATAGGTGACATTTTTGCAGCGGATAAACGGGTATTTTCAAGCTAAATATTAGAAACTAATTAAAAGATGCTGGGATAAAAAAAGCCAATAGAAAAATAAAAATATAGTGAACCTGCTCTTGCGTGACCTCATATTTTTCCACGTGGAAGCTAAGATAATCTGTTTACAGATTCTAATTGAGAAGAAATACCTAAATCTTGCATGAAATAAAACATCTCTGCTGAAATAAGGCAAACCTACGTACTCATCACTTGAGGTTCCATGCTGGAAAGTCCTTCTAATAAGGTACTAACTAAATCTGCAATGTGAGGTTTCAACAATTCTTTGGCGGTCTTGCAAATTTCGAGAATTGTCCTTAAGGAAAATTTACGAACGTCCTCAGCATCTGAAAACAAACCTTTGGTCAAGAGGAATGGTAAAACGACTTTCATAAATTTTTGACCGTCGGCTACAGACACATTTTCAGGATTGCAGTATTTCACCGTAACCTTGGTCAGCGTACGACATGTCTTAAATGCCGCTATTCGAACGCTTTCCTAATTATTAAATGTAGTGATGCATGGGATTATCCACTAATGGGACCTCGTAATAACAGATCTGAATGCGCAAGGCCGTACGTACTTTAATATCATCCAAAGCTCTAAAACACATGTTCCACAAGTCCTGCAAGAAAGGTTCCAGTTCCTGAATAGATCGACCTTGCAAAAGGTCTGTTAACGCATTGGCACTAAAGTTTCATAAAGTCAAAGTCAATTGACAATTTAATCGACAAATAAGAATCTAGCAGGTTCGCGTACCTAGCCTCTCGAGTTTTCCATAATCGATCACCAAGAGACTTAAGTAAATCTTTCACAATTTGTTCAAAATATTCTTCCATGATCTTTTTAGGTTCTTTCACCAATGCTTTCCAGATACTCGTCATAGCCTCGTTGACCTTAGGATTGGGGTCATACTGAAATCGATACAATCGGGGTATCAAATCTTTCAAGTAAGGCTTCAACTCAACCTCGGCTTGAGAAATTATTGACGAGAACCCGAAGGCTGCACCTTTTCGAGATTGCCACATTGCATTATGGCTGGCTAGTTGCATAAACTTATATACCAACTCCGGTTGATTCAT